TTTGTTCCGCCTTAATGGCAATAAATAAGCAGACATTTTTTAAATTTCGAACGGGATAAAAAGTATCCTATGTCCTTCTCCTGGCTCTAAACTACCTCCCTGACAATTTTCAGCTAAATCGGTTCAGCCGTTCTTGAGTTATAAGCGAAGTAACTAACACGACTTTCTTTTATTTAAATGTGTAAGAAGATAGATTGATTTCCAATTTAAACTTAGAGGTAGTCGGTTTTAATCGGCATTAATAATATTAATGCCGTTTAAAACCGACTACTGTAATGTAAAAAACTTTTTAATTCTAAAACCACCTGCAATGAAGCTTTCCTAAACAAAGTGTTAAACAGAGCGTTTGCGTTAACTTTTTGAACAATTAATTTCCATTTAAACGGAGGTAGAGTCGCTTTAAAACGCAAAAGTGCCACTTGTGATCTAAACTGAATAAATATTTTGATTTTTTTGATTTTGAAACGGCATTAATTTGTTGCAAAATGTGATTGTGTTCACATTGTAATCTTTACTTGACTCTACTATTTTTATTAACAAATGATAGTCTGCATTTTAAATACATATATCTACAAATCAGAATAATAACAAACAACAAGTACCTATTTTCGGGGAATTCGATTTTGAAACGCTTCCGATATTTTAAATTTTAAAATCCTTCACGAATCCCTGCACTTTTTCTAAACGCTTTCTTGCGCGTAAGGTGCTCCCTTCACCTGGAGCATTTGCATGTAATGCAAACACCATAATGAGGTTACAGAGTCGAGTTTTACATCAGTAATAAAGCTGTACCGAGCATTACAGTGTGCTACTTGTAACCGTCGAATCTGAAATGATACATTACAGAAGTACTAATTTTGATATTACAGGCGAAGGCTACATACGTCTCATCCTAGTTTCCCAATTAGACACCGGTAAAAGCGTTGCAATTAATTGAAAGGCCACTTACAAAATAACACTTATCGTCAGTACATTTAAATCATAGGTAGGTACCTATACATTATTTATGTAATACTAGCTGACCCGGCGAACTTTGTTCCGCCTTAATGGCAATAAATAAGCAGACATTTTTTAAATTTCGAACGGGATAAAAAGTATCCTATGTCCTTCTCCTGGCTCTAAACTACCTCCCTGACAATTTTCAGCTAAATCGGTTCAGCCGTTCTTGAGTTATAAGTGGAGTAACTAACACGACTTTCTTTTATATATATAGATATATATATGTATGTAGCTTATTTATTGTACCTACACGTTTAACTGAACCAGATTACGTGAAAATTCGGAGTAGGCTTTTTTCACGTAAAAGATGAAGGACCGCGCCCAGTACCGGATACAATCAACTTTACGGGAGACTTATCCCATATTTTTAATTAGATACTTACCTAACTAATTAAGCAGAATACAGACAGAATTACACAACAATAATTAAGTTCTTAGTCTAATTTGGTTAATTTTGTCCAAGTCTATTAATATACAGTGTGAGTCACGTTAAAGTGTACATATGAAAATAGATGAAACTAGACCTATTTTTATCGACAAAAAAGAGGTCAAAAAATTTTTGAGATTTAAAAAAAAAATATTGAATTTTTTTTCTTCTAAGTACTTAATGTAAAGAAAACGTAATAACTTTTAAACTAAGCGGTATATCCTGATAAAATAAAAACATTAAAATAATGCTAAATAACAGGCAATACTAAAAAAATACATAAAATGCACAAAAAATTCCAACAAATATTAAAAAATGATACTTTTAGAAAAAAATCTGCTTTTAAATTCATATTTTTTTCGTTATTTCATAAATTTCTCCAAAAAATGCCCCTATAACAGGTGGTTTTTATTACTTTGTATTACTCTCTTTCGTATTATCTTTGTAAAACCAAAAATCGCATGTCTCTATCCCTATCACAACATTTGCTATGATCGTTTAAACTAAGGCCTGCCACAACATTATTCTCCGCTACAATTAAAAAAAAAAAAAAAATTAACTAAAATGCTTATTTTATTTCGAAATCTTTTGTTTTTATTTGCAATCTAACTTGTCTTTATCAAAATTATAAATCTAGAGCCATTTTCAGTTTCGTTGTTAACGAAGCGTTGAATGGCGCGCCCGGAGAGGCTTAGTTTAAACGATCATTGCAAACGTTGTGATGGGGATAGAGACATGCGATTTTTGGTTTTACGAAGGTAATACGATAGAGAATAATACAAAGTAATAAAAACCACCGGTTATAGGGGCATTTTTTGGAGAAATTTATCAAATAACCAAAAAAACACGAATTTAAAAGCAGATTTTTTCAAAATGTATCATTTTTTATTATTTGTTGGCCTTTTTTGTGTATTTTATGTACTTTTTTAGTATCGCCTGTTATTTAGCATTATTACTTTTTTATTTTATCAGGATATACCGCTTAGTTTAAAAGTTATTACGTTTTCTTTAAAATAATTAATTGGAAGAAAAAAAATTCTATAAAAAATTAAAAAAAAATCTCAAAAAATTTTGACCTCTTTTTTGACGATAAAAATAGGTCTCGTTTCATCTATTTTCATATGTACACTTTAACGTGACTCACACTGTATATTATAATAGTTAATTATTCTGTGTTTTCACATCAAAGCCGAAACATCGTTAATCAAGTTTTTCGATGTAATTTCAAAATCGGGCTGACCGGTCGATTAAATAATCAGCATTAAAGGAGCCATTACTCCCGCACTGGGCTTTGACGAGTTCAGTACCTATTGGTTGGCCACGAACGCTGTTTAGGGCGGGGCGGCCTTTTCCGAAAGTTTTCCTTCTCGCGGCAGTAATTAGCGGCGGTAATAAACATGAAGGTTACGGTTAAAGTGAGAGAGAAAGATGGTAAGGGACAAACGGAGTCGACCGTAAACCGAGCCGTTGTGAGGCTGCGCCAGATGCGCATTGAGCACCGATTGTGAACACCGTCTGAGGCTGCATTGAATCGGAGCTTACTGCCACTGAGAGCCCCCACTTTAAATACGAGCTTGGAATTGTAAACAGTGTTTGAAATGCTTTTCTGACGCTGTTGTGCCCCTCGTTCTATTGTTTTGATGCCTCTGCTGGATATCATCATGAATATTTTTTAAATGCGACACCTTTGATTGCTTTCAGAATACACTTTGGAAGTTTTGAATAGCACAAAACCATTCATTTCCAGGGAAACACAAGTCCAGATTGTAAGTGCCTACGTATTGTTCCTTGAGGAAACTTGATGATATAAGATCAGCATTCTTTTTGTCATTCAACTTTGACAAAAGGAAGAAAAGAAAGTTGGACATCCATGACGACGAGGGTTCGATCGTAATTCCGCCATATAGCAAGTTTGGTCTTACGAGGTTAATGCTTTTACGACAATGCGGCCAGCGGATCGGAAGAGAGTTTTGATAAGGAATCCACACTAATATTACTAATAAGAAAGTAAATCTGTCCGTTTCGTTTTCAGTTTTTCATACCAAATCCCAAAATCTAACATATAGTAGATAGATGCAATTCATTCATTTGTACAGATGATGAACTGAAAATATTACTATTATACCGTTTTACCCCCTTAGGGATGGAGTTTCGTAAAATCCGTTCTTAGTGAGCACCTACGTTCTAAAAGAAACCCCCATGCAAAATTTGAGACTCGTAGCACTTGTAGTTTCTGAGATTTCGATATGAGTGAGTGAATCTGTCAGTCAGTGACCTTTCGCTTTTATAAATATAGATTTATTTACTTAATTAAGCTAAAAATACCATAACAAGAAAGCTAACTAGATAAGAAAAACTATTAATTAAAATCAACGTAGCCACCTCTATATTTATAAATAGTGGAATCCATGTAGGTATAACTTCTATTTTAAACGTGGTAGACTCTGAAACTCATTTAATCTAACAGATTTTATTTTACGTCGAACAAATATAAAAGTGTGATTAGCTCCACAGAAAGCGTGGGATCAATTCATTACTTTGTCGCTATTGAAGTGGGCAATTCCTTGAAATAGCGGAAGGATACTGTATCTGGGCGTGTCGAGTCGTCGCTATTACACGCGCTGCGATATGATCCTCATTAGCTTTTAGCACTAATTGATTGGTACATCCTTAGTGAGATAATTTATATATCGGCTCATCTTGCGTGGACTCTGATTTTGGTATCATCCTAATTATCTGATCCTGTTTCTAGTGATTACCTACCATAATTGTCTGTTTGGAAACAGACGAATTCTATGTCTCTGTTCTGCGATCTGTGATATACGAGTAATATGCCAATGGAAAACTTTGATGAGTTTTGAATTAAGTTAAGACCAATTTTAGTTATTTTATAAAATGGACTTAATAGACTTGTTCGACGCATCTCAGGCCCATTTACCTCCGGTTAAGTAATGTTATCATTTTTTGTTTGTTGTATAGTTAGTTGAATTTATAAACATCAACAGTCATAAATGCTTTCTAAAAATATGAAACTCAGGTCAGCGATTTTACGAGTAGGTTCTGCTTCAGTAATATTCAGTAAACTAATAGCTGCTCGCTTGAACAACTACCGTCGAAGTTTGTGAACTAAATCATAGATCTAGTAGTTGTTGTAAATGCGCAAGCAATTCTGTCGATTTGTCTGCTAAGTTTTATTACCTAAACGATCAACCAATATTGCTGATGCTTAATTTTGGATACTTAAGTAGACATAATTCTAACCTTGAAGGACTTAGGAACTCTGAGGGTGTGAATTAGTGGGTAAAAGTTCGTACATCGTTTTCTCGATAGTTATTTTTGAAATTAGGTATGTAAGTTTTTCAGATTAGTTCACGCACGCTTCTCAAAAACGACTACAATGGTACAATACTGTACGTAGACGAAAAGTCTGTAGTCTGCGCTAGGCTAACATTACTAATATAGGATGGATGTACACGGTACACGGCCGAGGGCGCAGCCTAAACTGTTACTTAGCATCTTATGTCGTAGTGATAGGTACTATTTTGCAACATGAATTGTAGTTTATTGTACATACCTTGGGCTGTTGTTTCTTCCGCGCCTCGCTGCGCAGGAGCGAGCATCGCAGCGCGTTCCTCTCGGCCACGCGGCGCACGGCCGCGTCCTCCGCCTTGGGCCTCACTCCCGCGTCCCACGCCCTAGGAATACAATAATAATTAATCTTAGTTCTGCTATCTCAAATAGGTAAAGTTTTTTATACTGGTCTCAGACATAATGTGGAAGTACATGCACAGAATACAATAAATCTTAGTACTGCCACCTCAATAATAGGCAAATCTATGATGTTTACGCCGGCCTCGGACATGTGTAAATATTTTAGAAAGATTCAGGAATAGTTTTGTTTGGATATTACATCTTTGCAAATAATATTTATGGGTTACGTTGCGTTGCGCCCTTTGAAGTAAATATGCCAAAAACCGCCATTTCAATGCACAAAGTTAAAACACATGACTGAACCGGCCATTAAATTAAATCAGAAAAAAGGCACTCAAAATCCTGGGTGGCTACAGTTTTCTAAACATCGTTCTTTATTAAGTTAGTACGTATCCCATTCTGATTTTAACCATAATCGAATAACAGCTATGTTAATTAACTATTTGTTTTTTACCCCATATCGTAGGTTGCATTAGTAAAGTAGGTAGGTACTTAAACCTCAAATGACAGTATCAATACGGGAATTGCGACGCATCCATTTGATTCAAACGAGTCTAATTCAAATATGTTTACAATTTGTGCCATCAAAGGCCACCGCTCTGTGCGTCACAAATTGTAGAGAGCAAATAATTTAAATTACAGACACTACATCATCATTATCAATGTACCATTTTAGTGCTTCAAATAAAGTTTGGTCTGTTGACTTCATGTCAGCTACATTCCTGTTTTCTCTATATTGCCTATTTGGTCCATACTCAACAATCTATTACATCGCACCGTATTCGCACCAAGCACCACAGATCTTTTTCTACAAATTCTTCCCCTACTGACCGTTCTCTAAGCGCATTTGTTACGACGAAACAGACAGATATTGTCAGGAAGTGTTATAAATAATACTATTCAGAAAATTTAAATACAGACAAAGCGATCGACACTTCATAACGGATGGCCTGGCGAAAACGATATTTTGAGCCCTAAGTATTTGTATTTTCCCATGTTTGACGCAGGCTATACAAACGCCCGCACGTCAAACAGAACACCAGAACATAATTCTTATGTAGTTGTTATAGGGGCTGTTTTGTAACAGAAACGAATAAGTCTGTTGTGCTGTAATTGACGGTATCAGCAAACAAAAGCGCCGCTTGGTAGCGGGCAAGCGGCTTACGGACGCGTCAATCATTAGCGTGCAAATAAATTTTGCTCCCCTTTCCACGAAATTTCCAGGATCAATTAGGTGCTAATTGATTGCAATCAGGGGACTGAATGCTTGCATTTTAAGATCAATTAATGTGTTGTTATCAATTAATGTGTTGTGAATTGACACCTAAAGTTAAGAAGCCTTGATCAGTAACCTCGGCTTTTAAACGTCATGTTTTGGAAAAAACTGTTAACCTCAACTAACTCCGTAAATTTTGGCGTCTGAACTTTGATAGATGTTGAATTATACTGAGGTCGAAGCATTATTGGCGAGAAGTGAAATTGACCGATATAGGTACATATGAATGGAAAATAACGGATTGGCGGAATAAAAGGACTTGGCATGGTTAGAAAATCATTGGCCCGGATAAGTCCGTCGTTACCGGACCATAGCAAGGCAAAATGGAGGCCGATATTATCACCCATCCACCACCTAATAATAGGCTGAACAAATTGTACAAAATTGGTATTGTAACCATGTCATCTGCGACCGCATAATTTATGGCATAACGACTAAGGCCCAGTTTTTTATTCATTGTTAAAATAACCAATAGATAAGTTTGACAGATGTCAAATGACAAGTGGTTAAATATCAGAAAAAAATGTTTTTCGAACAATGGTTAACTTGACTTTTAGTACATTTTTTAACTTAAGTTAACATTTTGTTAATATTTAACCATTAGTAGCAAAATTTAACAATTAGTTATTTTAACTATGAATCAAAAAACTGGGCCTAAGCCACTTTAATAAATTCAAATACAATGTTGAAATTATTTTCTTTCTTCATCCTCTTTCTTTCTTTCTAAATAATAGTTTGCTACATTTCAAGCGAAGGAAAGAAAGAGTTAAAGGGATAAAGTTCAGCTTGGAATAAAATAATCAACCGGAGGCGTCCAAAATACGTACGGCACATAATGAATGAGATTTCAGCCGTTGCACCGAGCTGTTCGAAACTAATCCAGTATCCAACACAGAGTTTGAGAGTAAATATCGGAATATTGACTTATTCAACAGTTAGCCATTTTTGATTCAAATGAAAGCCTTTCCAAGAACTGTAATAATTATGGTTTTAATAATATTGTTTTGATTTGTTCGACATTGATACGTGTTTTGCTTATGAATAATAACTTTGTTTTCGGATCCACGCCCACCTGAGACTCCCGTTGACGTTTCTTATTTGTTAATGATTTATAAAAATAACAGACCCATGTTTATATTGTTTCGAAATTGCTTTTTCATTCAACGTTGATTGTTACTTTGAAATCTACTCAGTGTAACAAAGTGTGTAAACTGACGTCACAATTTCGTTGACGACGTTATCCCTGTGCCATCAATTTGGTTGCCATAACAACAGTCCGGGCAAATATCAGTGTAGTGACGTCATCACACGTTAAATGCTTTTAATTATTTTCTCGGTCTACATACCTACTATTACAGTACAACGTTAGCAAAAATGTTTACTCTCTCAGAACAGGAAAATGGTGGAACATTGTTTTTTTTTATCTTAAGAGATTAGCTCCAGTGTCGCATATTGTATGTATTAATTGGGATTATGATAATATTTCTACCCCTGGCGTCAGTGTTTATTAGAGAAAGAAATAATAATTGGTTTTATGATAAAAAGATTGAAACAATGAAAATAGAATTATTGGTTCAATGTCCTATTAAAACATTTTTAGACCGTCTGTCCCACGATCAGTTGATTTTTGGACACAAATGTGAGGAATGCTTTTATCTTTTACGCGAAAAAATTCGGATCATGTTCTTTTAAGAAGCGAGCCCTCACTATTTTCACGAATTAGGGTGCGGTAAGTTGAAATTCCCAGAAAATGTTTTTAGCTAAAATGTTGTCCGAAGTTGCGGCTTCGGCCACGTTTGGCAAAAAAAAAGACATCGGTGAAAGAAACCTCTTGCTATGTTCAATTTGTCGAAGTTGTAACCAATTATGTGAAAGATTCTTACCAGGGCCTAAAAATTAACGAACTAATAGTATCTAGAAATCTTAAAATATACAGTCAATATAAGTAATCTTAGTTAGATGGGAATATCATTAACAAGAGATTAACTTCAGTGGTTGCAAAAAGATTTTGAAAAACGTTATAACACATCAATGCTTCTCGTTTGGTAGTTGCCGCGAATTCTGCTTTGAAAAACTTTTTTCACCCGAAGTTTGTAACAATACCCGACTAATTGGCGTTAGCTTTAGCTTTGGCCAAACATCGACGGCGGTTGGTCAGTACTTAAAATAGCTTATAGATCGTTTCATCCACGAAGACGCGCCCCACCATTCTTTCGCTAATGTTTGAGTGTTATCGGTACATGTTAAATTATCCATGAGTGCACACGCACACTACAATAATGACGCTCGGATTGCTCAGATCAAACTCCCCGCACCCCGCGCTTCCCTTGACGAAAAATTGGTGTGGCGCGTCTTCGTGGATGAAACGATATATACCTGAGCGTCTCTGAAGTGACGAGCTGCGGCTCGATGGCAGGCGGCGGCGGCCTGCCGCTATTGAACAGTTGCTGCACCGCCGAATTGGTTTTTGGCGTGTTGATCGTAAGGATAAGCGGCGTTTCCAATCTAAAAAGAAAAATTGTCTTTAATCCCTTCCATATAAGTACCACTTTTATTTGATCAGTAAATCAGTATAAGAGGTTCTATTGTGAATTAACATAAATGAGTATTTTACATAAAATTTCGCGAAAACAGTTTGCGTATGCTGCTCGTGCCTCGTACGCTTTTACTTTATAGGGTATTGTCATTGTCATATTGATGGCACGCCGTATAGAGGATAGATAAAAGGCATTGTTACATCTTAAGCCTCAAGCCTCATATTTCCCACAACACTAAGTAGAAGTGAAATATTTAACGCTGGAGCAGCTTTTGTCGGGAGTTTTTTAATTTCCGTGCTCAATTTTGAGGGCTTCGTTAAAGTTGATAGTGTTGATACTCAGAAAGTATTGCTTTTCACAATAGAAAGCTTAATAAATTACGATGTCCTTCTAAGTTTTAGCCAACTTTAATGATAAATTAATCGAAGTGACAAATGCTAAGCCCTGCCTAAAATTACAAACTTACACGATTGATTTTGAGCTTTTCAGTAAAGGTATTATTTAACTCCTTATCTATTAATAAAGTTTATGCGTGGGTTGAATACTTTAGTTAACGCGACGTTTAGTGTGGAAATCTTGTTTTAACATTTGATTGACACGGCTGTACTCGTAACTATCTATTAGTAAGGGGTATACAATTCATATCCTGCGTGCATATCCCTTATTGCTAGTGTTAGGAACCAATTAGGTAAGCTGCAATATCGTAACGCGCGTTGAATTTAGCTTTAAATCCGTACCTGTGTGCTGTATTAGTGCTGTAGTCCTTTTGCGTGCTGGTTTCGTTGTCCGTTGTCTGTGGCGGTTCTGGTTCGGTCTTGGGCGCTGGTGTTTGGACTGGGCCCTCCTCTGAAGGCTCCTGGCGTTCGACGAAGCGCACCGAGCGCGGAGTGACGGAACCATCTTCGTCGCTGGCCGTGGTCGTCGAACGCTGGTCGTCATTCTGCTTGAAATACATTACTCGTTAATACCCTTGATTGCTTTTCACAAAAAATCTCACTTGTCACGCTTACCCAAATGCGATGCTAAAAACGATTGTAGACTTACTTGGTGTCGTACTTTACAATCACTTAATGGCATTGGGTAAACCCACTGAGTCTTTAACTTATCAACTAATTTTAACAGTTAAGAAGACAATAGCCCAAAGCTTAACGTGTCAGCATTGCCGATTAACGATTCTAGTGTCACTACGTAGTTCGATCCCGTCGACCGCTGGACTATAAAATTGTGGTGGAACCACTCCTAACACTTGCTAGCAAATATCTTGATCACTTGAATAAAATACGCATTTTTAAATGCATTCGAACTGAAATTGTAGGTACTACACTCAAGAGCAAAAATATGGAATCACCCTATTTGTTTCGAGCATTACATAAACTAAATGACTAATAGAAGACAAATAAAAATGGTACCGTTTTAAAAGTAATGTTATAAACTTTAAATTGACACCACAGATACATACATAGTCATCCAGTTCTTAATATCGCTCGGTACAAAACACAAGGGGGTAATTCCATACTTTTGCTCGTAAGTATAGTTTCTTTCTTTCTTACTTAGATAGATACATACCTACATTAGACGGTAACAAGATCAGTGAACGAAAGTGAAAGCATTTTAACTTTTTTGACCTCAAATACTTCAGGTCTCCCCAGTTGGTGGGTGTTTTGGGTAATGCCTACAGCCTACTCAACCTCGCGGGCTCAGCGCCTAATAAAGGGGGTGGGTATACGTGACCCACCTTATAACTTAAATTTTGCTGTATTTAGTAACTTAAATTCTTGTTTTTTTACACACGGTTGATAACAGGGTTTTGGGACGTGTGACCGCGTTGAGTTCAGGTTTTGACATTTAGTACTCGCTAAGGCTAAACCGCTGCCCTATTTTAGGCTCTACTCTGGCTAGACTTTTTGACTAGTTACTATTGCAATATCTAGATTCAGACGGGAATAAATAAAATCTAAGATCGATCAACTGCAACTGAGCTCACCTAGTTTTCGCGAGCAAAATCTAGATTCAAACTTTAGCTCTACGTTAACATCTAGGTTAACATTTATTTACGACGATAGTAGATTACTACCTGACAATGCTCAAATAAAAATAACTACAGCACCACAAAATAATTAACGCAAAAAGATATTTAAAACAAGATTGATTCATCACTCATCACTCTTGATAGGTTCCAATCGAATCCACTATAATTGTGCCATTTCGTTGATTGCAGTTGGTAAAACCTTTTCAATTTTCGAGAGTTAAACCTGAACTGGATTTGTTAGAGCACTGCGAAATGTAAATAATGTTTTAAATTTTATTACCTCCGGGAACTGGTAATTTTGTTTTTGCAGAAAAACAATAATGTAACCTTAGATTAATAAAACCTAGATAGATAGTCAGTGCACGAAAGGTGAGGCAGATTTTAGTGAGCCAGAATGGCTTACTCGTAAACGTCACATGAACTGTCAAAGTGAAAAATTGGTAAACACGTCCGACGACTTTTAATTAATTAAGACGGTTTGTGCTGTGAACGGGTGTCTAAATACATCAGAAAACCTAAAGAAAGTGACCAGTGTTACATTTCATAAGTAAGTACTACGATTCGACGCGTATTTTGCTTGAATTTGGCTTTCAAAAATTAAATACGGGAATGATACCAGTAACAAGAAAATTTATTTCCCAATTGTTCGCCGTACAAATACACTTCCTTTTTTATGAAATCGAGACTTTTCAGTCGATTTATCTTATTGTAATTAGGTAGGTACTTTGAATTCAATAAATAAGTAAGTACATGATGCGTTTTGTTTTTGTTAGTTATAAAATAATTAAAAACGTATTAAAAATTTCCCTACTTTCGGGAAAATCGTCTTCACTGTCTACACTCCCCAACAAAATTGACACTAATGACATAAGATTTTTGCCTCACTCTTGACGAAGCGTTTGTATGAAGACTATCCATCTAGGTTTTATTAATCTAAGAATGTAACTAAATGGACTGAAAATACCCTTGTTCTTTTCAGGTCAAACCTTGTGAAGTTTTAATAATATTTATGTGTAATTGTTTTCTTTGTAAATTATGAAACGGACAATCGTTATTTTATTGTTTATTTCAATAATAGACTTTGTACGCGTGAAAACAGTTTGAATAATATTTCCCATTTTTGCAACGTTTTTATTCTTTACTGCTTCTCCCCTGTTGACTGTAGAGTGATATTATGAAGCCTAACGTAATCCTTGATAAATGGGCTATCCATAACAAAAAGAATTTTTAAAATCGGACCAGTAGTTCCTGAGATTAGCGTGTAAACTACTACAATTTTCATACAGTCATTTTTTCGTCCCATACTGAAATTTTATCTCTATTTAATGGTCTGTAAGCCAATATAGGTCTCATTAGTGGTGGACATTTGGACCACTTTTGGTCATTGTCCTTTATAATTTATGTATGGATTTAGTCGGTATTTTCCTACATAATTTTCTTTTTATGTTTTTCTAATGTAAACAGACGTATCCGTAAAGTGAAACGTACGAAAAAATTTTACACACTTATGGTAATATACATAATTTGACATCCAGTAGTGTGTTTCACACATTAGAAGTCATAGTGGTGATAGTACATTTCATTGCGAATATTTATTGATAATAAATATCGCCATATTATTGAAGCGTTCGCGCACCGTTGCATTCTCGCAATCGCCTAGGGCACGGGAGGGCAAGCTCGAAATAGCGTGCAACACAATAATAGCCCATTTCAAGGACATCGCTACGCGCGGGGGGCGCGCGGCGAGGCGGGGGCCGCAGTTCAGTCTGCAGCCTGCCGCCGGGGGGAGTGCACGCGTCTGCAGCGCAAAATGCACGGAACTTTCTCGCCGAACGTGTCGAATATTACGCTGCGATTGGTTCTACGATTTTCTGCCTGGTGAACTATTTTGCTATATTATTTAAGCTGTTTCTTTGGCGTTTGAGTGGGAATGTGTAGTTAAGTTTAATTTCGCTTTTATTTATAGCTAAAATAGTCATTTTTCGCCATTTTTATTGTATTTAGATCAATGCGCTCCAAGTTAAATAGTTATTTCAGATTCACACTGATACATGGCACCCAATCATCGGTAGAAGAAATGTACCTTATCCCATCAAAAACAATACTTGTCAAAAAAACCAAGTCTCGCAACTCAGTTGTTCTACGGTAAAAAGTTGTGAGATCCATGTAATACCAAGTCCAGGCCAGGAAATCTTTAACGTTTTACATAAATATATTGACTTGGCCATGACAAAATTAAGTAACTTTGACCCGTTATAATTCTTAAACTACTAGTTCAAATTGAATGAAATTTTAAATATACCGTGTCTTTACAATGCCTGCATAGCTAATGAAAATTCAGCCTTCTAGTTTTATCCACAACGAAGTTACAGGCGGTCGAAAATGGCCTGAATTGCTTCGAGAAAAGGATGGTACGGCCGTGCCGCTTTTTTGCTCGACTTGGTGGGGGCACTGCCGTGCCCCCAGATAACGTCTGCATTTTCCACTACGGTGGAATTAGTTGGATCAAAAACCTATGGAACCACCGATCAAACGACTGGACTTCAGACGCGATCCTGGATATAAAAGATGGATTATGATGGCTACGACCTATTTACGTATTCGCTACACGATTTTTTTACTTAGATAGACGACAATCAAACTGACGGCGTATCTTCTGAAGCATGGGACCTTATTCCTTGTTCGGACATTTTCAAGATTAACTCAAGCCTGCATGTCTTAGCGAAACACTGGAAACTCGTGCTGACATCCTTCGATTCAATAATTCAACTCTCTTTTACGTATGATTGTAACATTCGTTTTTAATCAAATATATTTTACTTTTTTACATATTTCGTGTCTTTATTAACATACATTCTATTCAATTTACCTCACTTTTGCCTCTTTCTTTAAGATAAGTAGTCATAGTGGTTATGAAGACATCCTCATATAATAGATATTGGTCACCAGATGGAGTTGAAACCAACTTCAACTTCAAATATTTTTGACTCTATCTCGCAACGCCACCATTTGTTAACCACAGGTCCTTGGTAAGAAAACTCTTAGATACTAATTAGAGAGTACCAAAATAACTTAAAATAATTTGCGTAAAGCCAAAGAGGGTATTACAATCAATATAGGCTCACGGTTAGCAGAAAAGGCTTGATTCGGGCGAAAATGTAGATGCTACAAATTGACAGTTTGTTTTATTCCTTTGAAGATTTATGTTTTCTACATCAAAGTGCCTAGTATATTGAAGAAAATGTAAAGGGCACACATCTGCAATCTATCAAAGAAACCTTTCTTAGAAAATCCATCGACATTAATAGCAGCAGTGAGTTTCCATTCAAGAGGAAATGCTTTGTAGTATGGCTTATCAAAGGGTTATTTAACTAAAGGTTATTCAAATTTATGTATGCGAGTCATTTCTACTAGTATCTTAATATGTAAGTCTAGATATTAGCACGTCACTACCTTGTTTAATATAGGTACCACGCAATATTGTATACCCATTCTTATAAGATACACCATACAAGAATGCATGGTAAATTCAGTGAACTGCTCCTGAATCGAATGTACCTACTACTACTATTTCTATTTTTTATATTAACCGGCAGACAGTGGTGACTGAGTTTGTTGCGGCGCTTCGTCTCAGCACTTGCCAAATGTTGGTCTCAAAGCGCTGGTAGGGTAAAAAGATTATGAGACATGTAGAGGCTCCTTAAGAGCAAAATGACGATTTGTAAGAACTATTTATTAGTCCAAACAAATAAAGAAATTTTGATTTGACTTTGACTTTGAAACCTTTATTCGAATTCATTCTAGTGTATCAAATAATAAAACGTTTTATATTGCGGAACAATTATTGCTTTTAGTGTAGAAATCATCCAAGTCTACCGGTAGGTCTTGTAGCTAATCCTGAATTTCTTTTATTTGTTATTAAAAAATTAAGCTTCGTTGTTACTTCACCAAAAAGTATATAAAATTGACATTGTCTCCGACGTCTCTCGAAATTTAAACTTACGTTGGCAAATTGGTCTGGGCAGCTTTGATTCGGAGGTTTTTATGCAGCGCCCCTTTAGTGCAAGAACGCTACCGCTAGACAGTTTCGAAATGCAGCAGAAATGCACTATTCACGAAGGTTGATTTCCAGGTGAAGGTTGATCTATTTGTATGCCGACAAGGCTGACCACGGCTTGAACACATCTTTTATTTGTACATCATTCGCCCTACCTGTGTTTCACAAATAAACTATTCGAATTGAATTTGAGTTGAAGGTGAAATAATTACCTGTTCGTTAGGTTCCTTGTCGTTATCCAGTGATTTCCATAGCCTGCCCCCCTTGAGGATGCCGCCCCGTCGCTGACGCATGGGCGAGCTCTCCGCCGACAGCCGACCTTCGTTCTCAGCAGTGTCACTTTCCTCGCCTGCAAATTGACATTAGATTGTAACGAGCTCCACAAATGATACCAATTTAAGTTTACTCAAGGCAGATTTGTTTACGATTTGATTACGAGTTTCAACATTAACATTTATTTATTAAAGACGCAAAGATTTCACAAATTGTATAGCACGTAAACTTATGGGCTAAATTGTAACCTAACAACATGCATCCTATAAAGTATAAGTAAATGATGAATGTTACAACAAAACTTCAAAAAATCAGTTCACATTTTACTGAAAATAAAGATGTTTATTAATATATTTTAGTTTATGTGACATGAGAGTGAGAAAAGTGAAAATTTGTCTTATTAGGGACCTATAATAATGTGTAAAATATGTTTACTAGTAAAAGTCTCCTCTAACCATTAATTAATTTGTCAAATAGTAACGTCATTTAGGCATTAGATAACTATAGAAAACAGTAAACAATGTCCCTAGTTAATTAGACTAACTAAACCCTGATGCAAGTCTAGCCCGGATCACTAATTTGGTTCGGCATCCGGCGAAATCCTCACGTAATCCGATAAAAAAACCGTCACGTCAGCGCTTTATCCGTTTCTGTTTCGTTTTTGTGGACGACACTAGGAATTAGCCGGTGAATTAAAATAGATGCATTGGCGCAGGCAGGTGTCAGCCGTAGTTCTCTCGCGAAATTTTAGAGAGCGGATTAAAAAAGTGGGCTTTGTTGAAATGACATTTGCGTGACTGGCAGTATTCGTTGGTGAATTATTCAGCAAAGATTACCTATGAGTAAAAATAATACAAAACTACTATTTTTTAAAACGCTGAAATGCCAAACAACTAGGTATTTAATGTATGCAAATATGAGTATCAAATTACGTAAGTGGCAAAAACTGAAATGTATATTAAATTTTTTATTCGAGACGAAAACTAATATAATATTCGTAGGTCACAAAATTCACATTTACGAATACAATATTCAAATATTGCGATATTAATGATAAAATGACTAACATTTAGTTTATAAATAGAACTTTAGCTAGCGTAATCCTTGGATTAAGTTAGAATTACTTAGTAAATCATTCGATATTAATGAGAAAATGACTAACTTTTAGTTTATAAATAGAACTTTAGCTAGCGTAAGCCTTGGATTAACAAGTTGGAATTACTTAGTAAATCATTCAAGATATTCTAAATCACTTAAATTAATAGTCATTTGTTATATTAAATGAGCAGCCACAAAGCTATCGCGTTAGCAAATCGTGTAAACAGGATTAGCTGAAGAGCTTATGTTGCCAATGAAACTTTGTCCTGAAGACGCGATCGATTTAGTACCTCTAGCACGAAAAACGTATCGAATTTTGTCGAATATTCAAACGATTCGAGGACGAAAGGTAGGGTGGTAGGGTAAAAAGATTATGAGACATGTAGAGGTTCCCTATGAGCAAAATATTTGTCGATTTGTAAGTACTGTTTAAATAGTCTATGCAAATAAAGAAAAGTTGACTTTGACTTTGAAAGTATTTCGTGCTAGAGGTACTGTCGGCGGTAATCCGCAAAGCACTCGTGGTGCGAATGGAAGGGTTTACTCACTCGTCTGCGGGGCTGTTGACAACTCGGTCTGAGCCTCTTCCAGGCACAGATCTGGAGGGCATTCTGCAACAAACAAAACGTTTCTTTAGAATATTTACTACAACACAGAAAAGCACCAATAAAACTCGGGACTTTCTCGAGAAACGGGACTCTTACAGCGAAAAATCGTCGCGTGATTCTCAACACAAAACTACCTTTTGAAAAACGAGCTAAAGGCATTTGAAAATGCAATGAAAAATGTTAAAGTTCTATGAAATGAAACCATCGAAAAAATTATGACTTAATAGAAATGCAAATTATCCTACACAAACTTAAATTAACTTGAAACTTTTTTACTTCAAGATGAAGGAGAACGGATAAAGGTGATCTGGTATAAAGTTGCGTCATAGGGCTACGATTTGATAGGTTTTAATACCAAGTTTAAAATAATCCTTTCAGTAGTAGGTATGGAATGAATGTATGGAAGCTGAACAAATTGAATATTCGGATAGATCTAGTTTATTCTGTAACCTATTATTGATACCGTTTAAAGAGCTTGTGAAGCACTTGTCAGGACCAGTAACAAGTTTTTCGATAAATCTTGTATAGTTTAGACATAATCGAGTCAGATCACTTATCGTTTCCACCCTGTAGGATGCTTAATTCTTCGGTACTTTTTCTCTTAGTTATTTTCACTCAACTACATGTACAATAATACAAAATCTTATCATGTTATCAAGTAAAATTTTACTGAACATCTTTAAAACCTATGTTTGTGTAAGACTTTCAGTACCCTACTATTGAAAACAATATTTATAAACTTACATATATGCCTACGTAAATCGACTTATTCATTAAATATAGCTATAATGTTTGATATTTAATAACGATTGAATGCGTAATTCGAGACGTTTTTCGTCGAACTGATTATTAACCGCATTTTCAGTAGTATTTAATTGTGGTATTCAGCTTAATTTACAAGCATCGATAATAATCGTTCAACGCTTGAAATGATTTTCGTCATTAATAAATAATTTATTGCACAGAAACTGTTTCAAACAGTTTTATTGCATTAATACCCAATTAAATTTTAATGAAGATTTTAGGTACGTAAACGAATAGTACCTAAGTAGCTATTTGTAAATATTAACTTCTGAATCGATCTACCTCCTAAACCTTAAATACATAAAATGAGTTCCTAAGTCTTCATAAAAAAATTCAAGATAACAATTACATCATCAAGATAAAAGTATCTGAATGGAGTTATTACTATTGTGGACATTCAAAGGACCTCGTTGAGAATGCCGTGGAGAGTTTCGGTTGATTTCAAAGGAAGATTACACAATTATCTACAATTTAGTTGCTCGTTTGACAATCGCAAACTTGAACATTCAAATTAACGATGGGCGTCAAACTATCTAGAAGTTACAGACGACGGGGCAGATGGAGACAACGTTTTGAAAAGTATTATTATACGGTTTGCATATAGGAGATCTATCGTGACTGATTTTCTTTTTAAAATGGATTGAGAAGTCGTAACAGCGATATTAGTAGCATGTACTACTTTGATGAATACAATATTTATTATTTGTCTCGGGAATCCAACTTCACCTAAATGTTTTGTATAAAATTAACATTTCAAAAAACTTATAATTAAAGAGAATCCATCTTATGGTCCGGGGGTTTGAGTGTTTCACTTGGGCTTGGATTAAGTGATAATGTAAAAATAACTGGTTTGCAGGGTGTCTGTCGAGTTTCAATAATTGAAGATTTTTCTTTGAGTTAAGGTACCTATGATTTTGACTTTTCTTTATTTCCTTCAAGATATGTTTAGTTAATCTTAGTAGGTGTTTACTCGTACTTTATCTTTTGGGTCAAATCAACTTGTCATTGTCATCTTATTATCATTGTTAATTTAGTTATTTATTGATAAATTCAATATACGTTTGTATCAATTATACTAACAGTTAGTCACACGAGAGATTCAGTCATCTTTTGACATACCTACCTATTATGTATGCATAAATCAACGTTGCGGTACATAATTCATTTAGCTAGCATGTACTATTATTCATGTTTACTGTGTAGGTACATTATGTAACAACATCATTTGCACGGCAATCAGACTTATGTTCTGTTAGTTCATCAAAATAAATCAAATCAATGATTACGAAACTACATTTAGTTACTTTTAAAAACTCTTTTATAACATTTGACTATAAATATAAATATATTTGACTATAAATATAAATACAGTTATACACACTATATTCACGTTAATATAATGAATTTATTTATGAATATCGCAAACAGTTATCGTTTTACAAATTTTCCTGATACTGAAATATGTACCTGCAACCATCCGATAAAATAGCCCTTCAGGATTTCGGCTTAAATACAACTTTATTGTAAACTAGCTGACCCGGCGAACTTCGTACCGCCTTAGCGTAGAGATTTTCTTAATATTTTTTTCCGTAAGAACCATCCTTGGACTTCCACAAACATTTAAAAAAAAGAATTATCGAAATCGGTTCAGCCGTTCACACGTGATGCCGTGACAACGCGAAACGGGTTTCATTTTTATATATATAGATATATTATGTTTACACACATATGTTGCCACAGTCAAAGCCACTGTTGCGTGAAATGGTTTAACAAAATCGATTTTTAGTTTATTAATTTGGGTGTTTATTTACAGTTTGATAAATACTAGATTAAGTTCATGATATTGATTAAAATTCTCGGTACAAAGTGTCATTCCAGTTAACTCTGCAAACACGCTGACTGTACACAAAATGTAGCATGAGCAAATTTTATTTGGCTTTGACATTAAAATCGCCCAATGTTTTTCGTTTTTTGTCAAAAATGTAGCTTGATAATTAAATTCAGCAGCATACCAATCAATAAACTCAGTTTTATTTAGCACTCAAGTGTACCCACATAATTGTGTACTCTGCTTCTCATGCCCAAATTTAACTAAGTAACTGATAAACAATATTATGGCACTAGTAAACCAACATATAAATATAGTCCCAGAATAATTCGGTTAAGATTACGACTTTTCCCTAAGGTATTCAATTCCGGTGTTTGCAAACATGAAAATTATCATCACGTACAAGTGAAAAAACGAACGTGACCCAAGGCTTAGTCGTGGGTCACTTCCAGGCTCGTGGAAACTTCGAGAATTAGCATATTTGACCGCGTCTAGGGTTGCCAGGTCCAAAAACACAAAAGCCGGACTCCGTGCTTCATTTGGCCGGCAATATTAGCGTCATGGCTCATGAGTGGGTACTATTTTCACATTATTACAAAGCCTAACAAAAGCTGGACAGGCCGGACAAGACAATATTTGGCCGGACAAGCCCCTAAAAAGCAAAACATGTCCGGCTAAAGCCGGACACCTGGCAACCCTAACCGCGTCGTGTCCCCTTCGCGAGGCGGTCCGGAGGTGTCGCTGGCACCTAGCCAGGAGTTTAGTACACGCCAATGTGGATGTAGCAGTAGCATTTGTTAGTTAGAAAGAACCCTTTGGCGCATGTACAAAAAGATTAATGCTATTGATCGCTCAAGACAATAAAAACCGTATTCAGCTGACTTAAGGTTGATTGTTTGGACCCGCTGAAGCATGGGTCAGACACGCTTAATCAACGAATTAGGGTAAAATTGTTACATTAATTCAAAAGGCTTTAGAGAAGCCAGACTTTATTTTTCTGAAAGTATTTGAATGAGTACTTTATTTTATTAAACATAATGAAATCTACTGGGACCGTCTGATTTCATAAATTATTATGTTAATGTAAATAGCGAAGGGAAAGGTTCAAAATTAAAGGTTAATTTCATATTTGATAGTCTTTTAAAACCGTTTCTGAATAAAGCATAACTGTCTCGCTCTAACAAGGTAATGTCGTTTTGGATTCAAACAATTAGCCTCTGACTAACGAAGCTATCCCAGCATTTTGAAGGCAACACCATAACTAAATTTGATTGGGTCCTCAGAGCATTTTCAGCTTGTTCAACTTGGGTTTGAAATTAAAGCGGTTGGCGTCCATTCAGAATGTAATTGGTATTGGAAACTGTGGCTACTGCTCAACCATTTTACATCTAAGTATTTGGATTTATTGTTTTTGACGTTGATCAAGTATAGTTGCAACTGATATCCTTATTGAAAACCTGATTTCAAAATTATGAAGAATCGTACGAAATGGTGATTAAACAGCCCTCCATGTGTATGATTGTAGATTTGTAGCAGTATATTTTTTCACATGAGTTGCGAAACCGGCTTGAACAAATATTTGCTTGTGTAAACCATACTTACCGGTGTTTCAAATATGAATTAAGTTAGTAAATAAATTAACTCAAGAAGCTACCGATCACGAGCTAAAATAATATAACTTCTTACTCCCGAAGTCCCTAGTTTTCCCTATAAGTGCGAGTATGTATATCAAAGCCATCTTGAGCAAAACAAACACAAAAGCATCTTACGGAAAGTGAACGTGGAATTTTCTCATAGGAACAAACCAAAACACAAACATACTTCGTTTTGCACGCCAAGCAATATTTTGTTTAAGGATATAATAATAATGTGTGTGGTTTGTTAGACGCAAAGGCCTTTTTGGGACTTTCTATTTTCGGCATCTTTATTCTCGTATTTAAAGCGGCTTTAGTTCCAAATATAACGTTCTATATTTATACGTTGGTACCCTTAGGGATAGTCTTAATATTTTGTAATTTACATATACCGCATTAAGCTAAGAAGAGGTCACTAAACGAACATGAAACTTACCTTAGAATCTAAGGCTTAGTTTGCTGATTAGAGAACTTTTTTGTTGAAAAATCGTACCTCCTTACTCGTACAAAGCAAATCATCTACTTAATTGATACAACATAAATAGCTACTGTGTTTCATGTACATGTAGGTAAGTTTTAAATAAATAAATACAAAGACGATGCAGCAATGTACTGTGTATATCCGTTCACTGTTATAAATTACACCTATTTGGATTAAAGGACCCGTGTTGGTGCCGTCTCACGAATTCCCGCACCAAACTTGCTAGAGAATACCTACCAGAACCAGTATGGGTATT